ATGAACAGCATGGATGGAGCTGGAGAGCATTATGCTAAGTGAAATAAGCCAGTCAGAGAAAGATAAATATCACATGCTCTCACTCATTTGTGGATTATAATGAACAACGTAAACCGATGAACAAAAACAGATGTAGAGACAGAGAAGCATTTATCAGATGCTGAAAACTCAGAGGGAAGGTAGGGGAGGGTGGGGGTGAGGGGGAAAGATCAACCAAAGGAGTTGTATGCATGCATATAAGCATAAGTGATGGATATGGACAACATGGCGTGAGGGTGAGGGCAGAATTGGGGTGATGAAGGGACATTGGGGGGATAAGGACACATTTGTTATATCTTATTCAATAAAGGGGAAAAAAGTGTTAGGGGATGAAGTTTGTCCCATTTCCAGTTTTACCTGGTTTTTATTTGCCTAATTATTTTTGACATGTATTTTATAAGCTTAGAATTTAATATATCAATTCTTCAACTTCTCTGTCTTATTTTATTCATAATGAGAACTCACATATCCAGAAAAGTACTGACAGTGAGATATTTATGACGACCAAACTTCATATAGTCAAGCCTAAGTAAAGAGATGAAAATGTAAATGTAAATATAGAAAGAACAGAAAGAAAATATTGCTCAGGTAGATTTTCCTTTTCCAGTAGAATTTATCCAAGGCCACATGTCCATACACCCTCAAGCTTTCTGCTTGTTTTATTCAATTACCACCTAGGACTTGCTTCAGACTAACTGGTTCCTGATCTTGGATTTGCATCTATATCGATTCCTTGCTGTTCCTGACATGATTAACCTTGGCTCCCTGCTTCCTGAATTTGCCATATCACTCTGTTTATCTATTCTCTATAGTCTCAGCTCTGCTATCTTATTATGGTCACTGTATTAACCCTCAACCTATATTTATTCATTCTCATTTTAATCTTGATATTGCTTCATGTTTCTGCACATGACCACACTGACACATGCCCTCATTTACCAACTTCCTGCTATGCTGGACATTGGATCCATCATTCTATCCACAAGATGCGTAAGTTTCCCTGTTACTGACAATAATCTCTACATTCTAGTCTCCATGATTTTTCTTACCAGTCTAGATTGATCCAGGGTGAGAAACAGTGTTGTTACATGGAAGCCAATGGGGAAAAGTAATTTTTCTAGGATTGAGTCCTGCATCATAACTTATCTAGGTCACTTTCTCTCATACACCACAAATCTAACTCTGCATCTCCATTATTCATTAACCACATGCCTATACTAGTAGTTAGCCAAATGTTGAAATCTTAACAAGAAACAGCACATATTTGTGTTACCAGAACAATGAGTGTGTACAAAATGACCTGCTAAGTCAATGACAAACTTCCTTTTGTGGGGAACTAGAAAAAAACAGTTTTCCCAAGGGTAAAATATATCTTTTGGACAAGATTTTTTGTGCCAGCTAAGATATAATTTTACTGGATCCTCTCTACTTAAGCTTCAACTTTAGCATCAGCAGAGAAATAAAGTAAGAGTGGTTTACATTGTTTCTTTTCCAAAAAGCTGTTAGGAAAGCCAAGAGTATTATAGTAATTTATTCAAACTCTACTTTTATAAAATATACATGCAAATTCTCTGTAGTTACTTCCAAACCAATGAGGTTGTGAACAGTATCACTAGAGTTACCATGAGAGACTATTTACTTACTTTTAGTGTTTCATTGAATTCCGGATTGATGCCAGTTCTGATTTTAGTCTTGCGCTTATTATTTCTAGACTTGTCAGGAAGAAGGTATGACTTGACATAACTGTAAATGATAAAAGATGAAAGTAATTATTGGGAAAAATCTACTTTGCAAAAAAAAAAATACTCAGAAACTTCAGTGAATAAAAGAATTAAAGAGAATTGGCCAGTAATTATAAGAGTCAGCCTGGCCTCTGTGGCTCAGTGGTTGAGTGTTGACCCATGAACCAGGAGTTGGTGGTTCAACCCCTGGTTAGGGCATATACCCTGAATTCAGGCTTAATCTCCAGTAGGGGGTATGCAGGAGGCAGCCAATCAATGATTCTCTCTCATCATTGATGTTTCTCTCTTTCTCCCTCTCCCTTCCTCTCTATGAAATCAATAAAAATATAAAAAATAAACATAAGAGACAGAACCAAAGAGAATATATTCCACATAACAGATTATCTTAAAGACAACTCTGGGCCTTTAATAAAAGAGAAGTGGTAAAGAGTATGGGCTCTGGAGTCATGCCAGTTGGGTTTAAATCATTCCCTGCCTCATTAGTTTTGGTGAACTCAAGATTATACTAATGCTCTCTGTGCCTGTTTTCTCATCAGTAAAAATGGGACAATAACAATATCTAATTTATGATATTGTTATTTGTGAGGATTAAGTCAGTTGATACATTTAAGGACCTGACATATTATATAACTCAAGAAGAAATCTAATCTATTATTATGATTATTAGTCTCACAAAATAGTATGGGGTTATATTCCTCTCTATTCATATGTCAGGAGTTCTGATGAGTGCTCTCAATGGTAATGGGTGAATAAAGAAAAATGGTGAAAAGGAAGAAATAAAAAATAACAACCTAGGTCAGAATAGCAATTCACCCAACAACTTGTGTTGAACTATCTCAGCAACATCCTGAAGCAGGGGCATCACGACAGACTCAGAAATGTATAAGATGTACAACATTCTACCAGAGTTCTGAAGCACATGTACTAGGGCTTTAGATGACCCCTTTCCATGTTAGTCTAAATGATTATATTTGTCCTGAAGCCTTCTGATATTGAACTGAGGAAGTAGGTGGACAATTTGTACTCAGTTTCCATTGATTTGTCTATCTTAAAATATTTGGAAACAGCTTGGTTGCATTGTTTATTGAACCTAGGTCACCTAATATATAAAAAGGGGGTCACATAGCTGGCCTGAGAGTGTGCTATCCTTAGAAATGCCTGCTTATAAGGTTGGTGCTTGGCTGGAAACTGGGAACTTGGATTTCAGAAAGATTCTTATCAGTCCCAGAACAGATATAGTTTTGTTACTGTGACTAAGCTATAAAAACAATGACTGATGCTGAGCATCTGCTTTTATTCTGGGAAACTGGCAATTTTGGTATGTGACCAGTTGAGTCTCTAAATGGGCTTTCCTGGTGGACAACATTGCCCAATGTCACAACCTGTTGCTAGAGGAATTAAATATATCCTGTGTAGTCACTGGAAGAGAACACTTGTAAGCTTAAGCCTGGTTTCTTCAGAACTGCATCACATATACCTCTTTTCTTTGCTGATTATAACTACATATGGAGTGCTATGGGTCCTCCTAGTGAATCATCAAACACAGCAGTGGCCTTTGCAATACCTAATACATTTTTATATCCAGCTCCCCTCCAAAGTGCCGTGGTCCACACCTACCCTTGAGGACTGATTCCTGGAATCCCATGAGCTTCAAAATTGCCCCTTTGATTTGTTCAACTGGGCTAACAGTTTGTTAATTTTCTCTGAAGTATGCCCCAGAACAAAAATTAACTTTCATGCATCCTGGGGTATGCCAATGTGTCAGCCTTCTATCTCAAAGAGCTGCCTCTGCCTAAACAATAAATATGTCAGTCCTAAATCATGTTGAGTAATAGCATCTTAACAATCAGGTAACTATAGACAAAAGCATTACAGATGAACTTTGAACATTTAGAAGTGTGACATTGGAGGAAAGTGACAATCAACGTTCAGAAGAATGCTAAGAATCTCCTGAAGAGTGACATCAGAGGAATGGCAGCATGATAGTGCACCTTGTCTTCTCCTCCTGAAATTTCAACAAGTTAACCAACTATAATTCAACAAACAAATCCCTGCTCAACACTGACATATGCCTGAGAAATCTGGGCATTGAAACATTTAAAGGTGGGTAACCTGGAATAAGTGGGGAGAGGAAAAGGGAGGAAAGCACAGATGGCCCACAGATGCAGCCCTGCAGCCAGAAGCTTGTGGCCTGGCTGGGAATAGGAGAAATCTGGCAACAGCAGGCACTTCCTTCAACTAGGAGGAACAGAGAGCTGCAGGGAGCAGCCCAGTACTGTGAGCAGTGAGGAAGCAAACAGTGTCTGAGTCAGCAGACTTCTGACAGAACATGAGGCTCTGCCATGCAGTTTCCAATGTTGAGTTGGTTGCTGGTGTTTCAGACAAAGAAATGGTACCACAGAGCCCTTCTGTCACTTGGACTCCCAAAACTTGCCTCCCATTGACCTTGGAGTCAGGTCCAGGAGCATATTATCTGTAAACCAAGAGCTGTTGCAGTAGAACTGCTGTTTCCCACTGTGATGGATCCCCATTGCAGTGAGGGCAAAACAAAGCCCACCCCCAATCAGAGTGGCTGTACTGTTTCACAGAAGCTGTGGAGGTCAAGACTGGAAGATCACAGAGATAAAATCTTGTGATTCAGTGCCATCTACTGGAAAATAGCAGAAAGACCTCTTCAAAGAAAGCTGCTATACAGAAGGTCATTAATATAGACAGATATTCATGCCTAGGCAAAGGAGAATAGCAAATACTATGAATAACCACAGTAACGAGGATGATCAGAAAGAAAATGAAAAATCCTCCGAAAGCAAGCTGGAACACATGGAAATATGTGATACAAATGACAGAGATTTCAAGATTGAAGCTCCGAAAATACTCAACGAGATGCAAAAAAAATACAGATGGGCAATTCAGTGCACTCAGAAAACAAATCAATGAACAAAAAGAGATTGAAACTTTAAGAAGATCCAATCAGGCTCAGCTGGAGTGGCTCAGTGGTTGAGCATTGACCTGTGGACTGAAGTGTCCCGGGTTAGATTCCAGTCAAGGGCACATGCCCGGGTTATAGGCTCGATCCCCAGTAGGGGGCGTGCAGGAGGCATCATTGATATTTCTATCTCTCTCCCTCTTCTTTCCTCTCCGAAATCAATAAAAATATATTAGGGAAAAAAAACCAATCAGAAATCCTGGAAATGAAGCATGCAATTAAGGAGATTAAGAGTGAACTACTGGGGGGAGAAAAAATGGTGGCTGAATAGTCAGACTATTGTGCACCTCGTCCTAGGGCCAGATTGTAAATACAACTAAATTGGACAATATTCACCTGGAATTACTAACTGAGGTCCAGCTGAGGAGGAGACATATCAAGGAAGGACAGAAAATACCTGGAAATTGGTAGGAAGGGTGAGGTCATGAGGGTAGCTGACTCAGCTTTCACAGATGGCAGGCCAATGGGCCAAGAGTGAAGAGGGAGCTCCCAGCTATGGGAGGGTCAGTTCCCTCAGAGGATAGAGGCCTGGAACACAGGCTGAGATCCACAGGCTGGAGCACCAGAATCGAGACCAGCAGCTTATGTTGAAAGGCCACAGGGTTGCTGGTTGTGGTGGAGTTTGGAGGCAGTAGGCCAGAACCAGTTGAAGAGAAAGATGCAGTTTTTATTATTGTTGTTTTGTTTTTTAAACTCAGAGCAAAGGAGTTTTTATTTGCATATACTCACCCAAGGCTTTGGTGCAGGGAGGGAGATGGAGACTCAAGGTGCCTAAGTATGGGAAGCATTGTGGGGAGATGTGGAAAAGCAGCAGCCAGGAGTATTTGGTCATAGGCCTTCAAACCAAAACAGCCATTTTTCCTGAGAGGAGCTAGCTGCTTCCAGTAGCCTCAGGGAAGGAAAAAAAACTATCCTAGATGATTCAGCCTGTCCCATCCTCAGGATCCCTGCATTGTTGTATCTTTTTTCTTTTATTTCTTTTTGTCCCTTTTAAAATTAATCTTTATGTATCTGCTTTACTGATTTGTTATTATTCTAGTCTCTGTTGTTTTGTTCATATATCTAATTTTCTTTTTCCATTTTCTTCTCTTTTTTCACTACTCATTTTTTTTCCTTTTCTTTCTCTCATTTCTTGTCTTGAGTTTTTTCATTCCCCAACCCCCTTTTCTTATTTTAGGACTATCTACTTTCTCCTCTATTTTCCTTTTCCATTTTTTCTCTTCTTTTTTGACCTCTCCTTCCTCCTTTATTTTAAACCATTTTCCTTCCCCGAATCCCCTAATACTTTATATTATTTTATTTAGTTCAGATCTGAATCTACATATTCCTTCCTCCCCACTTTTTTTTAAAAAAATATTTCTTTACTGATTTATTTTATTTTTTTAAATTAAATCTTTATTGTTCAGATTATTACAGTTGTTCCTCTTTTCCTCCCCCATAACTACCCTCCACCCTCTGCTCTAACCCCCTCTCATTGTCTACATCCATAGGTGTACGATTTTTGTCCAGTCTCTTCCCGCACCCCCCACACTCCTTTCCCCTACAAGAATAGTCAGTCCACTCCCTTTCTATGACCCTGATTCTATTATATTCACCAGTTTACTCTGTTCATCAGATTTTTTATTCACTTGATTTTTAGATTCACTTGTTGATAGATAATTTTTATCTTTACCTTCTTCTTCTTCTTCTTCTTCTCCTTCTTCTTCTTCTTCTTCTTCTTCTTCTTCTTCTTCTTCTTCTTCTTCCACTCCTTAAAAAATACCCTTCAACATTT